ATTAGCAGGAGTCACTCCTATGAGTATGTGTGGTATGCTGAGTGGGGTGAATACCCCTCACCAGAATCTTTAACTTCTGAAATATTCCAATGGACCAAGAAGAGGAGGGAGGGAGAGGTGGAGAGGAAGAGGGAAGAGAGGGAGAGGGCGGGAGGGGAGGGAGAGAGGGGGGAGGGAGAGGGGGAGAGGAAGGGGGAAAGAGAGAGAAGCAGTTTCTGTGGTCACAATGGAGTGTGTGGATCAGAGGCTTAGCTGAGTGTTCCTTGCTTTCTTCAAGCCTCTCTGCTCCATTTCTCTTATTCTAGAGGCCCCGGTGCTGTTTGTGTCAAAATCACAGCATCCAGAGAAGGTGCTGGTCCTGGAGGGGAGCAGTGCAGTGCTGTCAGCCATTGTCTCCAAGGAGTCGTCCGTGGTCAGCTGGGAAGGACCCCGAGGGAACCTTGTGGCAGGGGAACACTGCCAGTTACGGAGAGAAGGACGGGTCCACAGCCTCTTGCTGAGTAATGTAGGCAAAGCAGATGCCGGAGAGTACACCTGCCATTCTTCTCATGATCAGCTGCATTTTGAGCTTAGTGTGAAAGGTAAGAGATCTGTGCAGAGGCTGTTCACTGTCTTGGCAAGTCAAGAGGTAATCAGATATGGGCCTACAGTAATGGTCTTGGGTAGGGTGCCATATTTGGTCTTTGGTAGTACACCAAAGACTACGCTCCGCAAAGCAGGAGATGGGAGCCATACTCAATTTAGTTTTTCTTCTTGGTTATCAGTTTGGGAGACTTTCAGAGGCCATGGCCAATGATTTAGGCAACACCTGTGATCCTAGGGTATGTTTATATTATGGAATACCTTAATAGATAAAATACAGCCTGCTCAAGATGGATGACCACGGTCAAAAAGGAATGAATTTTTATGTTACATTAAAACAAGGGTTTTGACAAGCAGGGGGATCTTTGGTTACATTCAGGCATCGGGTGAGCTATACTGGTCAAAATTTTCCTGGCAACACAATCACAAAAGGAGCCTATCAAACTATGTCCCTGCTGGACCTTCTGTCTCTTCAGCTTGATTGACTATGGCTGTTACAGAGAACCTATGGCACGCATGCTACAAGTGGCATGCAGAACGCTCTCTGCGAGCACACCAGCTGTCGCCCCAGCCCAGCTCCACCATGTATGCATGCATGCCTCCCACTGGTTTTTTGGTCTCTGCCGTGCAGGCAGGGTTTTTTTGCCGGGGGTTGCACGTGCATGCCCCTCCCACACCATTTTGGGCCAGGAAGGCCTGCACATCTGCAAACATCTGCAAGAAAACAAGGGCACGGGGGCGCCATGTGAGGCCCTACTGTGCCCCGTTTTGGGCCTAGATAGCCTCCTGCAGCAACCTGGAAGACAAAAATGGGTGGGGCACATAGGTGGAGGCAGGGTGCATACACAGGGGGCGCTCGTATTGCATTTTGGGGTGTGTGTTTTGGGTACTCAGTACCAAAAAGGTTAGCCATCACTGCACTGGACTATGGAGACCGTAGACCTTCTAACAGACTGACTGGCTTTGTTTGCAAGAGGGGGGCTTACAATCATGCAGCAAACTTTGTCTGCAGGATTGAAGCTTTAAGCTTAATTTCCCAACCTCTGATGTGTTGCTCAAGCAGCTGGGAAGAAGGGAGGGTTTCCTCTTATTTCCTCAGTAGTTCTTTCCATAAAAATGGGTGGTTTTTGTTTTTGTTTTAAATAGCCTGTTATTTTCAGTAAGGGAACTATTGGCAGTTATTAGCCATGAGAGCTAAATAGACCATTTGTGCGTAGAGGCAATATATTTTTGATTGTCATATGCTTGTGGTCAAGCAGTGGGACAGCTTTATAGTCTATGAGAGACTATAGATGTGTCTGCCTGGTCACTGTTGAAAATATAACACAGGGCGAAACAAACCCCTGCCTGATTCAGTAAGATAGTTAAAATGATCCCAGGTTGCAGAAGCAGGGAAATACTCTTTCCTGAAACTTCATTGTGCCAGGCAAAATAAATAGGTCTAAGCCTGTATTGTGGTCCGCTGGCAGCCTGAAGAGCTGGCAGCAGAGTTGGACAGTGAGGAGGTTGGGGAGGAACATGGGTCAGTCCTGGAGGCTGGGGAAGGCTCGAACAATGGCTCGCTGTCAGAGGCAGAGAGGGGGCCAGGGCCATCTGGGAGTTATGTGCTGCCTCCGGAGCCTCCAGAGTGAGACATCAGCGAGGCAGAGGAACAGGCTCCTCCTGTTCCCTGTGCGCGCATGCACAGAGCTGCCAGAAGGCAAGAACAGTTAAGACAGAAGGGATGACTCGGGAATAAGGTTTGGAGGTGATTGGCCCCTCCCATAGGACATAAAGGAGGAGCAAAGGCACGTGAGCCTTTGTAGGAAGCAACTTGGTTCATGCTGGTCAATTTACCTTCTGAAGCTCCGTTTTGACTCTTTGCTCTGTGTGGCCTTGCCAAGCTAATTGCCAATTAAGCCTTCGGTAGCGTTTTCAAAGAAGATAAAGGTGGGTACG